TGAAGTGTAGTGACTACGTGTTTTGTGGGCAAAAAGGGGCAGCCAGTTTGCACACAGCAACATCCCACAAACAGCCGTGGAGTGAATGACCAAATTTTATTGAAGGAGGATTGTTGGGCAGGAGATCAGGAGAAACTCCCTTCTTTTTCAAATAGTTGCCATGGGATCTTTAACGTTCGCCTGAGGAAGCAGACGTGACCTCGGTTTAATGTCTCATTTGATGGTTTCAGCAAAGGACTCCCTTTAAAACACATCCTTTCTTTGTCACAGGCATTTTTTCATTCTTGTGTCTCACTCTCTGCCGATGTCCCTGTACCAACTTGCTATTTCTGTTGCCTCTCCCTTCTCCCTGCTGTTTTCTTCCTTCAACAATTGAATGCTGCCACTGAATGACTTACACACTCTCAACCCATATTTGTTCTTTGAATGTTAAAGATCCATTCAATTTCCGAGGTATTTAATTGGTGTCGGTGACCTCAGCAAATTGGTTGCTGCATTTGGACCACCGAATACACAATCACTACACTTCATAGTAAATCCTGTGGAGCGCTTTGAGACCTTTTGATGATCTGATAAGGTGCTATGTGAAATGCAAATATTATTATTATAAGGAATTATTATGTATAATGTTTCTGAACCAGTGCTGAGGATGTGATGCAGGGAAAGGGACACGAATGTCATTTACAGACCTCCTGTCACACGGGGAAACATGAAACGAGAACATAAATCAACACTAAAGAAATGTGGCAGAATTTACTAACACATGATTGATGGCAGACAAAGTCATGTGTTTGTGTGTTAATGGCACAGACCTACTGCAGTGGTACATTGGCTGACTGCAATGGTGCATCGGTTAACTGCAATAATGCACTGCCTGACTGCAGTGGAAGATCACATTAGTACAATATTGCACCAGCTCACTGCAGTAGTGCACGGGCAGAATGCCTCTCCAGGCTCTAGCATTCCTGATTCAGCTGCTGTGTGAGTTTCTGTGGGTCAGCTCTTCAGTTAAAAAGAGATTAGTCCTTGTGATTGTTCTTCGTCCTTGAAGTGATTTCCATACTGAGGGAACGGCAAGACAGTGAGAACAAGAGAGAAAAAACACAGATATAAAATAAACTACAAGAGAGAGGAGGCAATCTAGAAGTGTTCTCTGATTGTACATTTCCTGACCTTGACATTGTTGTGTGGTCTTCTAATATTGCTGTTGACAGCGTCATTTCATCTTTTGGGTGAGACATTGAACCAGAGTCCCATCTTTCTGTTCAAGTGAAATTAAAGCTCTAATGGAAAGGAGGAGGGAGTTTCTCCTAGCGTTTGCCAAATTAATTGGTAATTAATTTTATGACTGTTTGTGGAACCTTGCCGTGCACACATACGCTGTTGAGTTTGTTTACAAATACTAAGTCACTACACTTGACATTTTACTAGTGAAGCAAATTGAGCTAGTTTGATGTGTTAGCATATCTGGGATTTTGTCTAGTGAATGAAAAAACAACTTTACTGTTCTTACCATGGAACTCACTGCTGTGGTGCATCTTGTATATAGTTCACTGCCAGGTGTTATCCTGTATGTGGCTCACTTCTCTACACTGCCCTTCGTACAGTTCATCGCTATGTGCTAAGCTGTGTATAATTCATTGCTGTGTGTTGTTTATATAACTCACTGCTGCCTGCTATCCTTTGTGTAACTCGCTGCCAGACATCTACTATCATGATAATAATCAGTAGAAATAGCTGCATGGACTACTGATTCTATCACATGGGGACTGTTCAAAGCAAACCTGAAATGTAAAAAGCAGACATTAAATGAAATTTGTGTAATATGCATGTGAAGCATTCTGTTGTAGTCAGTAGGTGAAGAGTAATTCTATTATACAGTGTGTGTCTGAGTGTAACTTCACTCCCAATCTCTCCGCACTGGGTTCCATTACCCTTGTGAAAGAAAATATTAGCCCATTTATTGAGCAGCATGTTGACAGGTGTTTGCATGTCTTAGCCCATGAGGTCAAAACAGTTCGTATCATTCCAGGCTGTAACCACATCAACCTATTTGAAGCTCGTGCTGGATCAGCCTCACTGAAGGCTGTGTACTTCATTTAAATCTCAAACCCCACCAACAATCCATTTGCAGATACCTCCCTCTACCCCCCCACCATACTTGAGAAGAAAAGGTTCAATAGGAGATCTTATTGAAGGATGTAGGGTCACAAATAGTGGAGATACAAATACAGTCACTACTTTTGCAGTAAATCGTGTGAAGCTCTTTAAGATGTTTCGAACTGCGTGATAAAATGCAACATTCAATGCAAGCATTATTATTTTAAAACCCTGACTACATGTAGGGTACTTTGAGCCTAGCAAGGATTAAGATATGCAAGTAATAATAATAAGAAGAATCCTTGCATTTGATATAGCGCTTGTCACGTCTTCCAGACATCTCAAAGCGCTTCACAGAATATGCTGTAAAGTGAATTGACCGTATATTTGTGGGCGAAATACGGCAGCCAATTGCGCACCGCAGTGTCCCACAAACAGTCGTGGATTTAAAATGACCAACTATTATTATTAGGCCATGAAAAACTATTGTGTTTTCGTGAGGAGCTATGGATTTTGTGCTGGGAACCATGTGAAATACTAACCAAAGTTATCATTGGATATTATTGGGGATCGAGCAGGTAAGATTGGTGACCCTCTGTTTGTTACGAGTTTTGTCAAACCACAGCAATTGGCTTGGAGAAGTGTAAAACTGCTCTCCACTTTGTATTTGCTTTTGAAACCTTTTGCTATCTTGTTAGAAATGAGTACATATGTTGTGCAGGTGCGACAGGGAGTGTTATTGGTGGGGCGAGAGGTGAGGTGAACTGTTGAGTTAAGTCAACAAACAGCTGAACTGCAGCAGAGTTTGAGTTGAGCTCTAGCTGCTGTGTCTGATCTTATCATGACTGCTGTCTGCCCTTGTATTAGCAGGTGTCAAGTGCAAAAAATGTTTCAATCCTTCGAGCTGTCATTCTTTTGCTTTTCGGAGAGTATTTACACAAACACGTGACTTAGTCTGCCAACACTGGAGCCAATGTGCTTTCCTGCAGGAGAATTCTTATGGATCGGTTGAGTTCTGCATCAATCTTATTACCACTCTGTATGATGTGGACTCAGCGGGCATCTGCTATCCTTTCAGACTTGTCCTGGTATTGACTTTCTTTCCCTTCATCAAGCAAGCAATGCAAGTCACAGAGTGAAGCAGTCAGCTCCTTCACATCACGTCTCTGTTAATCCAAGAAACATCAGGATAGAGGGAGAAACACACAAGTCTGGGGAGAAGCCATCAATGTCCAACTCTGTTATCACTTGTCATTTGTATGATTTGGTGGTAGCAACAGGTTGAACAGCTTCTGGAGGGCGAGGGAGGAGTAGTGGAGACACATTCATCTCACAACCAGCAGAGAGAGCGAGCTCCCACATGAAGCACCAACAATCCACTAGAGGAGCCCAAGTCCAAATGGCCATGATACAGTGATCTGAACCCTTCCTTTGGTTCTACTAACCCCTTTTCCTTCAGTTCTACTTAATAGCGTGGCAATTTGCTTAAACACCTGATCGATGTTCCGCAATTCTGAAACACTTTATGGGAAATAAAATGTTGATAGTTAGGAAGAGAGTCATGTCCTGCATATGAATGAACAGGGCACCTACACAGAGCTTTACCTAACTGCAACATTGCTCCACCTCCTGCTCGCTCCCCAGTCTGAATGGACTGGCGTGCTAATAACATCCAATAGAATGAGACTATTGCTCCAGCTTAGGCATTACTTAATGAAGCGATTCACTTGACAAGATGGGAGGAAGATCACTGCAGCAATGATACTCAGGACCATTCTGGCGTTTGAATGTAAAACAAGCTGAGATGTGTTTTCCCCAGGCAGCTTGGAATATTCACATTAAAGAGGAAGAGGGTCAGCTCAGGTGAAGCTTTATTCATAACATTGAGCAGTTTTGATAAAAGGGAGTTTCTCTCTCCTGTTGTCCTGGCCAACAATCCCCCAAATAAAATTGGTCACTCACTTCATGGCTGTTTGTGGGATATTGCTCTTTGCTGCTGCATTTGCCCGCAAAACACAGTCACTACATTTTACAGGATATGCTGTGAAGCACTTTGAGATGGCCTCTTGGCATGAAAATGTCAGAATTATTATTTTTATTATTGATGAAATTGAACCTCCAAAATGTGACTAATAGGGTCAGATGTTGGAGAAAATTCTTAACTTCAGTCATAATTTGGAAACCGGTTTTCCGCAGTTCATAAAAGACAAAAGCTTTCAAATTGAGACATGAAGGAAGCTATACAAGTGTAATTTCTATACGAGACTACTTTCTGAAGATGTTTAACAGCTGCCATTGATCTGTTTGTTTGGACGAGATACAGAGGCTGACAGAGCAGCTAACTCCATACAAACCCCATCGGATGTGCTCCTAATCTCAGAGTGCACTTTTGACGGACCAGTGCCCTTCTCTTTGGTTCCTAGACTGAGGCACGTCCTTTAGATGAAACACCACAGCCAGTCAGCTCCTCTCTGCCTGGCTAGTGCTTGAGGTAGACAATAAAAAACACATGGGGCCATTTGGAAGAGGAGGAGGGAGCTTCCTGGCTAATATTTCAGGAAGATGACTGAGCTGAGACAGTTATGAACTAAATTGGATGAAAATACTGTCAGTCTTCTCTAACATGACCCAGAGCGCAGTCGTCGTAACTCCAGCCTGGGAACTGTAGTGGCGGTCAATCATTTCTCACTTTGTGGTAGTTTGCAGCTGACTTGGATAATCGGAGAGCAGAACTGATTGCAACTGAAAATGGTTATCATTCACATTCCCCTCAAAGGTTTGGCAAATGCTCCAGAACATTCCGAGGCACACGGAGTTCAACTGCCTTGTCTGCTCTCCGTAATTACATTTTCCGAAACATTTATGGTTCGTGTTAAAGGAAGCAAATGAAGAAATGAAGTGATCTGTATCGACTGACGTGCTGCTTGAGGTAAGTGGAGCTGTATTCAGCTGTCAGGCTGTTCGGCTTTGCGATGCTCTCTGCTACCGCAGCACTGTGAGGAGCTGGAATCACCAGGCAGCTTGCTGCTCCTGTTACCAGGTATGAGAGCTGAAAGAGCTTGAAACGCCTTTAAAACGTTACACTAATGAGGGCACATTGCACTAAACTAGTGCATCACTGGACCGGCTGAGGTCTGCAAAGCACTGCACCAACACAGAGCAGAGAGAAGCCAGGGCACATCCTGAACCATTTACTGTAAATCTACAACACTCCTCGCTCTGCATCCTCAATAGATTGAAATCAAGTGCTGTATTGGGAACACAGACAAATGGAAAAGAACACAGACATGCCCACACCCTTTAATATTTACTTCCCCAGAACCCATCTGTTTCCCTTTTAGATAATCCCAATTGATTTTGCCTCTCCAGCCTTCAGTGTATTTACATTTTCACTATCCTGTGCGTGAAGCAATGTGCATTAACTGTTCTAGACTTAATTTTAAAACGTCAAGTGTTTTCTAATCTAATTTTCCCTTCCCTGAAGGCACTGAGTTGTGCCGGGGTATAGGTCCACTGGCACCATCCAGGACCTGTTACATTCGACCACAGAGCATCTGGTCTCCCCTCACTTTACATGTGCGTTGTCCTGCAGCCGGTGAATGAATAAGGATCTGACGCCCAACCTCGTCTAACACTTCAGACCATCGGTTAGAACTTTGGTAAATTATTCAAAAAAAACTCTTTTCTTTGTCTAAAAAAAAGCGGAGAACCGGCTTCCAAATTAAAGGTAACTCAAGTGTTTTACCAAAATTCTGCACATTCTCAGATCTGATGACAATGGTTCTCAGGCTCCCCATGAAAAAGACCTGATACATTCAAGCCCCTGAAGCAGGAAACCGGGATCATTAACCCTCTTCCTAACCCTGTAGGGCTGAGGCCAATTGTAGCCCCCCAATCCGGACCCAATTGAGATTAGCAACTCAACACAGAGAGGGCATAGAACCTGGGACTTTCTCCTATGAAGCACTTTGAGACGTCCTCCTGATGTGAAAGGCGCAATATCAAATGGAAGGATTGTTATTATTTGCCAACTCCAGCTACAGCTTTCCTTTCAGTCACCTACCCTCTCCCTCCCATTTCCCATTTCTAGCTTCCTCGATGATCCACACCCTAAAAAGTGCTTCAAGACGTTCTCCTGTCTGAAAGGTGCTATATACAAGCATGTTGTTGTAAATTTATTAGTATTTAATAAAAGGGGATAATTCATTCATTCAACATACCAACCGTACTACTGTAAGATTGTCAGTTTCAGACAGGCAAGTTATTATTTATCTTCCAATGTTTCAAATCACAAAGACTTCAATTCAGATCATGTCATTCCAATCTTGCACAGAGATCACCATATCTTTTAGTGAGTGAATGATACAAGCCTCTTTTTATCCCGATGAAAGGTGTGAATGGAGCTCAGTCGGGGGAAGCCAAATGTTTGAGGTCAACATTGCTATCCACTTTTCAGGCAACCACCATAATACTTCAGTAATAAAAGTTCTCAAATTGTCTAACTATGTAATAAGCAAAGTTTACTCTCGAAATTATATATATTCTTCCCCTTTCAGCTTCTAGACAATAATTGCATGCTGAAGAATGTATTTTCAGATGCTTTTGGAAAGCAAAATACAAGCATCAGCCCTTAAAATGGTGTTTAAATCCCTTGTGATACGCATGCTCTGAATTCAACATTAATGGATCAAACAGTGGCTTCGTATTCTGCATTTAAATGGCTTTTTTCATTCACGTTGTGTCAATTAGCTCTTCCTGTTTTGTTAAAATGCAGCTTTGAATGAATAACATTACATAGATACCACTGGGGGGGGAATTTAAGACAATATTTCTTCAGAATCCATAGAACCAGGCAGATGCCTTCACACACACTGGCACTGAGAGACCCACCCCCCCATCCACACACATCGTATAAGGCCATAGAACAGCAAGACTCTGTCACACTCTATAAAACCATGAGTCAGCGAGACTTGCTCAGACCCGATAGTGCGGACTTTGTTCTACTTGGTTTTTCTAAAGTATTCTCGAATCTTCCTTGGAACTTGCTGTGAAATCCTGCTTGTGATGATGAATGCAATGGGCAGTGGATGGAGAACCCCATGCCAATTTCAGCCTTTTAGTCTGATTGCTCCTCTGCGTTTAACTTTTAACTGCGTTATTAATTCTGGCAATTTCTCCCGGGCAGTGAAATTGAGTTTAGCTTGTTTATTAAGTGCTTGTGTCGCAGTATTGCAAGACACATCGACTGGTCACCGCTGCAGGCAGTCCTCCTGCATTGGCTCTGTGCATTCCGAGCTCCTTTTACAGATGTGTTGTTTGAGGTCCTTATTGTATCTATCGCAGTCTGCTCCTAGTGTGAGGATGTTCCATTTTTCTGCCCCAAGTTCATGTTCTGGTCTCTGAACTGTGCCGTGGAGGAGTGCAGAATCCCGGACAGCACAGGGTTCCCTCGCTCTGTGTATCTGCAGTCAGGAACCCTCTCACTTGTCGCTACTCAGTGGTGGCATCTCACCTAAGGACTGAGACCAGAAGGAGTCAGAAGATGATGAAGCAGGTCAGAGCGGATCACACTGTGACAGAGTGTGGTCAGCCCAAGCCATTCTCCTTGACTGTGTTCAATATTTAGACAGGGCTCATTTCATGTTAGGCAGTGTGTTGCATGGTCATTTTGGGGTAGATAGAGGTGTTGTTGGTGTGGCAGGACCTGCGTGTGTTTAAAGGGCACTCTTCTTGTTGGAAAAGTCTTTGGCAAAAACGTTGTTTATTAGCAGAGATACGGTGGTGGGAAAGGGAGACGAGAGCCGTTAGTTTAGTCGTGGTGGTGCTAGGGTTAAAGACGAATCATCTCAAAGTGTCGTGCGTGGGAAACAGAGAGATCAGGCCCTGACAGAGATGGGTTGCATTGTTGGCGGTGCCCCTTTGAGAGTTCTGGCTCACCGCTGGAGTCTGAGCTTTCGTGCAACGGACTGCGGCTATGTGGGCCGTGTCTGGCTGCTCCTGGGAGCTCTTAGTGCAGATTTCTCTGTGAAATTATACATTACTGTGCTTGTTAGAGAAGAATCGGCTCAGTGAATCGCATCGCATGAGTGTCACTCTTCAGCAACCTGAGAGGTTTTTTGTTATATATGCTAATTTGAACAAACACGAGAAATGGGATATGAATAATAGTTGAGCCTGAGCACGAGAGCTTCCCCACGTTCTCTCCCCCAGGACTTGACCAATGCTCCATCCTGGCTGTGTGGGAGCTCCCCTCACCCCTCCCTCATCCACACCCCCTCCCACCCAGGGTTCTGTGTCACTGCACCACACCTGTAGTGAGCCCACTTAGGGTTAACATGATCACTTTATCGATCGAGCGCCTTTTATATTTCGGATTCTTCCCCTCCTTGTGGCCAAGTATCACACTGCTAGTGCAGGCACCTTCATGTACGTTACCCAAACACGCATCTTTACGTGTGCCCCCTAGCACTGGCTGCTTAACTGTGTTTGTGTGTGTGTGTGTGGTTGTGTGTGGGGAGTGGGAAGGGTGGGGCATTACAACAGATGCTATCTTCACCTCAGCTCCCTGTAGTTTACAGCGGAGGCTGCTAGATAGAGATCAGGTACAGGAAACCCTGGTTGATATGGACCATTATCTCATCCCCATAGACTCTGAGGCCAATTATAAATGGTCTTCCTTCAGCTCCCAGTGCTGACAGTGCACTCCAGGGCAGTGCTGCATGGTCACAGGTGCTGTACTTGAGAGGAGACATTAAACTAAAGTACCTCTTTAGGGGTACAATCAAGATCCCATGATACTGTTTGAAAAAAACAGGGGAGTCTCTCCCCACATCCTGGCCAACAATCCTCCAGATGAATGGTCATTAACCCATTCTTGTTTGTGGGATCTTGCCAGCGCAAATGGCTGCTGGGTTTAGGGTAATTACGCTTGACAGTAATTACCGTGATGTTCTTTAAAGGTTTCCGATTGATAAGGCTGCCAAAAGGTCTTTGATTTCACTGCCACCTCGAGCTGACAGAATCACAGACTGTTCCAGAACAGAAACGACCCACACCCGACTCACCAAATCCAGGCTGGTCTTTTTCTACACGTGACCAATCCCGTTTATTTGCCGCTCGCTCCCTGCCCGCACCCTTTAATATTCCTCCTCTTTAAGCACACATCTGATTCCCTTTTTTCAAAAAAGAAAATTATGGACCTTGCCTCTACTAACTCAGTGTGGCCACATAACAAACTAGGGTAAGATGAACATTGCGTTAATTTTTAAAACCATGTTCTACTGAAATGCATTAAGTCCTCCTCGGCACAAAGGAGGCACCCAGCCCAATCGAGCATTCAGGTAGACTCTATGCCAGCTTTCTGTTAGCACGCAGTAAATTGTTATTAAATAGTTTTTCATTTGAATTACGTTTTTAAATTGATACTTAAATTCCCCCTCAAGGCACAAATGTAAAACCCAAACTCACATTTATGCATTTGTATCAAAAGGATCGATTTAATCTTAGGCATCGCGGGATTTGAGGAAGCAGATCGGATCTGCCCCCGTCTCCATTACCATCGGTGAGTTCATCAGTCCTATTATTTTCTTTCCGACAATTATGATTTTTATGGATTACAACCAATTAGGAAACATGTATCTGAATGGGAGTGTCACAGAATGGACAAAGTGCTCCCTTATCCAATCATCATATTAAACAAACACTACAAATGGAAAAGGGAAGTAAGGCACCTGAGCAAATATTGAATGATCACATCCCATAACCTGACCGAGGTCTTTAATACTATGAGGGGATCTACATAGAGTTACAAAGAGTGATTCAGCTAGTGTTTTTACTGCATGCGAGCCAGGTCTGAGCGATTATTTCTACGGGTGGGTGAGTCAGAACAAGAGGATATCCATTTAAGGTGGCCAAAAAGGAACGAAAGGAGAGGTTAGAATTCTCTGCCGTGAACTGTCGTCGAACCTGAGTTTGTGGATTCTTTTGAAAAGAAATTGGATAACAACTTGAAGAAATTGGATACATTATTAAAGGTGAGCGAGCGAGGAGTGGGAGCGAGACTGGGTGGCTCTTGTGGAGAAAAACACCAGTGTAGATTTGGTGAGCTGAATGCTCTGTTTCTGTGATGTAACATTCACGATCTCTTTGACCATGCTTTTGGTCATTTGTCCTCTCACCACACAGCTTGGCTCCCACCCCCAGCTCGGGTATCCAGATAGCAATGTCTAGCTCTATTAGATGTCCTGACCTGAAAGGTGCTTTAGAAATGTAAACCGCGTTGCATTGTATGATTATATGCCGGGGTATTTTGGATCCTGTCTTTTGCTGTTAAGATTAACGTCTCACTTGGATGGAAGGCAGGTTCTTGGAAGTCCTGTCTTTCTGTCCCTGTTTATAGTATTGTGTGTATGCGTTCAGAACCTAATAGTTCTGTGACTGTGACTTATACCAATTCTCAGTCAAGCTGTTTAAGTCAATAAGAAAACATGGACTGCGATAAAGCTATTGGGCGCAGAAAAGCCTGAATCTTCTATAAACTGTGTAGAATTGATATTGAGAACATTGCTCGGGGATTTAGTCAAAGTTTTCAAGATTATTGTTATACGCATTGCCTTTGGCCACGAATGGGATTTCCCGATAATATCATGAATTGTCGAAGGCACTACCCGTAACTCTCACCAGAACTTTTCCCCATATGAAGGGATTTTAAATACAAATAGAGAACGACTCTTTCCCCTTATTGGATCATAAAATCCACTTTTATGATGGGGTGAAGATGAACTGCATGTCATATTGATAAGCATTTAGAATGTACTATCCCAGAAAACAATAGGTGAGAAATCGATTGAAGAATTTATGAAACAAATGGATAGATACCTGGGAAGGACAAATGGCAAGAAAACATTAGGAGACAGGGAAGTAGGATTAGGAGAAGTGCCATTGAATAGTCTTAGCAGAGCAGGCGTGTTGGACCAAATAACCTCCTGTTCATAGTGTCCTATGTTCTTATGAAGCCCCAACTCTTTCTCCATCCAGGAATCTCAAGTGGAATATCGTTCTGAGACAGACTTGAAGGTCCGAGGAGCCTGGAAGCACGAGAGGAAGCTTTTAACAGGTAACAATATATGTTGTCTTAATTTCTGTCCTTGGTTTACTGATTGCTACTCACAGCCTCTGAGAAGAACAGACATTGATCCAATCAATGTATTCAAGAGAATATGATGCATACTTGAGGGAGAAGGGAATAGGTGAGGTGAGGATCTAAGTGGATCATAAATACCAGCACGGACTATTTGGGCTGAATGGCCTGTTTCTATGCCCTATCACTCTATGTAACACGTGACGAGGTGCAATACTTTTTGCACATTTCTAAATACAGTCATTGCTTTGAATTTGCGATTTTGTTGTTCCTGTCTGAATTTAATATTCAAGCAAATCACTGTGTACTTCCTTTAGTTTTAGGATATTTACTGAATTTCACGATGTAAGTACACAGAAGTTTTCAGTTGTGAAGTCCCACAAATTCGATTAAGGACCAATACATCAGGAGTCTTTTATTCACCATTGAGACTTACTGACATATTGAAATAGAAATGATGGCTTTCGATGCACATTTGTCCCATGAGATCAGCAAAGCTGTAAATCTATTAGATATCTGCATTTTGTTCCTGATGCAGAAACAACTCATTTTATCATGAAATGCCGCAGACTTTATCATTGTGCTTTGTTTCCTTAGTTGTCCCTGGAACTGTATTAGAGTCAATGGCAGCATTTGGATCCCAAGGGTTGGGTCCAAAATACGCTGGGGTCTCTCATCTTGCAAGCCCGTGCTTAGCATTAATGGAAACAGGGGGTTTAATGGATTTTACTCGGTGCTGCAAAGAAGCTAATGGGGCTGGCCCAACACATAGAACATGTCCCGGGCATGTAGATCCCATGTTTTGAGAGTAACACTGTGGTAGAGCTGTGAGTTCAGGTCTAATTCTTAGATTATACAAGAATTTATTTTCAAAAATCAGGTTGCGCCTCATTTACAACATAGCAACAACAAAATTGCATCTATAGAGCGCCTTCCACGTCGGGAGGACGTCCCAAGGCGCTGGGCAGTCAGGGGTCAGGACCCGAGCATGGGGGAGGGGTGGTGTAGGGGTGAGGGAAGCCAGAGAGGTGGGAGGGCGACCGAAGGCACGATTGAAGAGGAGGGTCTTGAGACCGGCCTTGGAGGAGGCAAGGGATAAAGCGAGGCGAAGGGACTGTGGGATGGAGTTCCAGAATGTGGGGGCAGAGAGGCTGAAAGCTCGGCCACCAATGGTCGGACGGGTTGGGCGGGAGACATGGAGCAGGCTGGAGCCCGCCGAACGGAGGGAGCGGGCAGGTTTGTAGGGAGTCAGCAGTCCAGAGAAGTCTTGAAAGTGAGGACGAGAATCTTAAACTCGATCCTCTGAGGGATGGGGAGCCAGTGGAGTCGGGCGAGGGTGGGAGTGATGGGGTCACGGAGCCTGGTGCGTAAGAGTACACGAGCTGCAGAGTTTTGGATGATGTGCAGCTTGCGAAGGGAAGAGTTGGGAAGGCCGATGAGGAGGGAATTTCCATAATTGAGTCATAATTTATTTGTCTTAAAAGCTTGTTGATTGAAAGAGAACTTAGGTTTACACCACAATGCAATCTCTCTCTGTCATGGTAACAAATCTGGCAGCCTGTCAATGACAACAATAACAAATTAAATTTGTATAAAGCCTTTCACGTCAGGAGGACGTCCCAAATCGACTCCCGGGAACCAGTGTGATAACAGAGTGCCAGTCACTGGCCTGGTGCCAGGGAGAGCTGAACTCTATTCTCTGGGTACAGCACATCCTGGGGTTGAATATGTGGGAATTGCAACAGGGTTTGAAGTGATTCATAATTGTTGAATCCTGCCTCACTCTCTTTGGCTCTCTCTCTCTCTCTCGATCTGTTTCCTTCTGTTTCTCTCTCTCTCTCTCTCCTTCTCTCTGTCTGTCCCTGTCTTGCTCTGTGTCATTAAAAGCCACAATTGGTACTGAGCTCATTACTTACTGAAGATCCCTGTGTCACTGATCTCCTGGGTTTGCTGTTACAATTGCTTTCTTCTACCTCAGACAAACACCACGGCCTGTTGAGAGGATTGCAGCAAGACATTTTGGTTAGCGTTAATTTCAAGCTATTACCAACAGAAAGCAATCTTTAGCAAGCAAAATCAAAACCCTTTCGGCTTTGATAAGTGTGGACAAAAGAGCAAGCTTGACTGTTGAAAGAGCTACAGGGTTGTCTACTGAATGGCTGTGTAGCCCTGGAGGCTGAACATCTGACTTCTGTTTGATGTCCAGTTGTTTCTTATCTTTGTTTGCAAATTACGGCCAAGTCTTTGCGGATCACTGGAAAAAGAGCAACATCTGGCCCATGCCATTAATTTCATCTCTTTCTCTTTTTTATCTCTCAACTTCTCATTTCTCCTTCCTTCCTTCCTCCTTTTTGATTTTATTCACTCTTCCCTGTGTTTTCTAATGCTCAGGAGAGCTGGGCCTGTTCTCCTTGAAAAATCAAGCACCACTGCAAACGTCAGAGGGGAACCACTCAGAATATTAAGACTCATATTTGTTTTGTATAATTAATTTTAATAGACACTTGTTAATCTGCAGTGCTGTGACTTCCAGGTGGGAATTCTGTTTCCACCAGATGGAGAGGTATTGTGCTTGTTGATAGAGTGCTGAGCCTGTGCTGATAAAGCTGTCTTACTGTTGTCCCTCACTAATATATATTGAGAGAAAGTGGAGAAGCACAGAGTGATTGTGATTAAGGAGTGGAAATCCAGAACTCTCTCCCCCAAAAGGATGTGAATGCTGGATCCACTGAGGTGGATAGATTTTTGTTGGGTAAGGGAATCAAGGGATATGGGGCAAAGGCGAGTAATTGGAGTTGAGGTACAGCTCAGCCAAGATCTTATAGAATAGTGGAACAGGCTCGTGAGGTTGAATGGCTTACCCCTGTTCCTATGTCCCTATGATTAATAGCCACCCTTTGCCCACTCTGCTCCCCATCAGCATTCAATGCCCTTGGATTTTTGCATTCATTCCTTCTAGTTCCAGGCACACGGATGAGTGTTGGAATCAGCAACGACAACTTGCATTTAAATAGCGCCTTCATACAGGGTAGAGTCCCAGAGTACTTGAATCAGTTTGAGCTGAGGGAAGTGACTGGTATCGCACACACCAAACTGTCTCCTCCCTTCACCTAACTAATGTTTTCTCAGGACTAGAGCCTGTGAAACATCTCCCTTCGTCAGTCTCCCCTTCCTCCTACGCCTTGAGCTCCCTAATTTGTTAGCACTCAACCACTTCTCAATTTGACTCATCCTCTCTCTCTCTCTCTCTCTCTCTTTCTCTTGCACTTGTTAATCCACTCTGTGCCTTGGTCCCAGACCTGTGTCCATCAGTAAGCCGAAGGTTTGGCAGGGCAGCAACCTTGTGTGGTCCCTTTGCCAGCTATCGAGCCATCTCTAAACCCATTGTGCAACTGGGCTGCACAAAAGATGCAATTCACTGGCAGTGAGATATCTCTGAAAGTAATGCAGTACCTACCCCCAGATTAATCGATCATTCACCTCATGGTTGTTTGTAGGACCTTGGAGTGTGTATGAATGGCTGCTATGTTTGCCTACAAAAAAGATAGTCACTATTCCCGATCGTGATTAACGGAAACGAACATAAGAATTTGCTAGACGAAAGAAGACCAAGGTTCGCCTTCCACCAGTCCTGGCAGTCGCTTAACATATCGTGTCAAAAAATGCTTTCAGTCACCAATGTGATGAGGCACAATAAAATGGCAAATTCTTTTCATTTTTATTTTCTACCGTTGAAGATATAAATCACAAAGCCCTGGTCTTTGACAGAATTAACATCCCTGTGCTTAACAGATTGCGTGATTGTAGAGTTTGCTGCCTCAGCTCATTTTCTGGTTCAACATCTGAGCTATTCATGTATTCAGCCACATCATAATATGGCAAAATATCAGCGCCTTGGTGCATGAGAATGGCTTACTAATCGACAGCAACTTGGCCCCAGTGCACCCTTAATGTTGCAGTACTATCACGTCTGCATTACGGTGTCAGCCTGGTAGGTTGTGGGTCCCAGCTAACGTCAGAACTTTGAGCTCATCGTCAGCACTACAGTACAGTGCTGGGTGAGCTCTGCGTTGTCAGAGGTGCCGTCCTTCAGGGGAGATATCAAATCAAGATCCCGCCACTCCATTCAAGTGGATATTAAAGATCCCATAGCACTGTTCGAAAAGAGAAGGGAGTTTCCTGTTAATCTATCAAACCAAAGCCTTAACAGCCAGCATGGCCTTTATTCCCACAGTTTTAGCTCATTAACTAAACTACCCCAACACACACTCTGCGGTCCCTAATCCTTGGTAGTTGCCAACGTAAATATAAACCTTTCAAGATTAGGCAGCAGGGTGTATGCCTCTGGAGAGAGGGTACATACTTGGAAGCAGACAAATGGAAACCGTGCATATGTGGAGCTTTCTGCAGTTTGGTTTGGAGTCTATTAATCTTGGTGATGGATTTCCACATCTCAGACACCCTGCTGACAAAACAAGTCATATGAATAAATGCGTTGTTGAGTTTAGTCCTAGTTTTAGAATTTGGATTCTCGACAGAGTTAAGCTGGGAGTCTAATTTGTGTTGACTGTCAGTCATTCAAACTCTTAGCACAACTCTACTGCTTATCTTCTCCAGTTGGCAGGAGCATGGTTCCAAAACACTGTTCGTGGTTAAATCTACAGTATTTTCAGAGCCATAGGCAGTGATGGTCTTTGTGGCTAGATCCTGCAGCCCAGGCCGTTTATCTGGTGTTGAGACAGGGCGACTGGGGAGCAGGTGTTCCATTCACAGATAGGCCTTATTATTGAGTTTCAGTGAACTGAATACAAAATAACAGTAAAATTTAATTTACGTATTAAATATATGAACCTATACATTTGCTAACATGAATTGAACATGATTGTATCAAATATTTTATTTAGAATTATTTTAAAAGGATTGGACAGAATAAAGAGAATGCATCTTATCTTTAGATATAAGCTAAAATGTGTCTA